AAAGTCCCTCTTTGTAAGTTTCCCAAAGGGTCCTCTCACTCTCTTCCTTAAATTTTAGCTGTTGTTGACTATATCCTCAGTTTCTCCTTATTTCTGTGTAGAGCATCAGTACAATCTAGTAATAACTGGCCAACTCTACCCTTGTTGTATATACAGTGTCCCCTTCACAGACTTCAAATGCCACAATCAGCAATAGGGTCTCCCCCCAACTGGAATGTTTTCCCAGGTAACCACCAGTGAAATCTTCAGAATTTGGACTGTCACAGTGTGCCAGGTTAGAGATATGCTCTATATACTACTTAAGATGGTGGTGAGTAATCCAGTCTGAGAACCCCCTTTAATTGCATGTTTTCTTGTATTATTGCAATTGGTAGACACGTCCATACTCTAGTACCCCTGCTATATTCAGTCCTGGGCTAGGAGTATCCCAAGAACAGCATTACCTCATATGAAGCACATATAGGCTGAAATTTGTCATTTATCAAAAATTCAAATTTAACTATATTTTGGAAATCCTATATTTTATTTGCCAAATCTAGCAACCCTTCCACAGTGGCAGGGTTAGAGGTCATATGTAGGCACAACAGCATGGTTACTTAGACACTAAAGCTCATTTAGCTATTGTCCTTGCCTATAAAATAGGTCAATGGTGAGTCCCCAATGTGTCACTATTCTTGAAGGAAACCAATAAGCAACTTGTGGGCAAATATGGAGTCTCTTCAAAACTGGATGGAGCAATAATTCAGCTTGACTGCAATTGACACAAATTCTAGATATGATTTTTTTTCCTGGAGGTGTTTAGCCAGTTGCCATTCAATAGTGTTTGATCCACAGACACAAGATTTTATATAACATTAGACTGGACCCAGAGGTTCTCTTTCCAGAAAAAGGTGTGCAATATTGGGCACATGACCTGGAATTTGATTACATACAATACTACCCAAAAATTGCCATCCAGATAGAGTAATGAAATGGTGTGTTAAAGACAGCTCAAGTGTGAGCTTAGGGATGTTACTCTAAGAGGATGGGAATCCACCCACTAGGAAGCATTTTTCACCCTAAATCATTTTGCACCCTATGCAGTAGAAAGTACAGGTTTGGGAACTGAGGAGCAGAAGTAGAAGTTGTTTTGCTTATCCACTCCTGGCGACCCACTTGAGGGAATCTGTAACTCCAGTTTTCATAATTCTGGGTCCTACAGGTTTAAAGCTCTTGGCTTCAAGATTGTCAATGCCTTGACCAGGGAACACAAGAGTTCCATCAAATTTTATCCATAGCCACTGCTTGGTCATATTTGACACCAGCCAAAAGAAAACAAGTCACCATCCTGACAGTGGTAATTGATTCTAATCACCATAAGGAGATCATGCCACTTCTACACAGTTGGGGCAGGCAAGAATAAGTTTGACATCCAGAAGACCCACTTAGATATCCCTTAGAAATGATAAACAAGTCCACCAACAATGGGCAGAGAAGGACATGGTGTCCAGAGGCTCAGACCCTCCAAGGGTGAAGGTTTCAGTCAGTCCACAAGGTAAGTTACCTAGATAAGCAGATGCTAGCTAAGGCTGAGAGGAGTTCTGAAATGTTTTATATGACAGAGATGATGAGCATCAGTTAAGGCTGCCAAGACTAGCTCCTGTAACAGATGCGTAATGTATTTCATTAGTCTTATAAATCCTCCCAAGGAAAAGAAGCTCAACATAACCATGGGAGGATGACTGTGGTGTGTATTTGTATGATGCAAATGAGCCTCAGCAAAGTAAGGGGCGAATGATCGTGGATGTTGTAGTGTTCCACCAAGTCCTTCCCCCACCACTGCCCCTTGGGCACAACTCTTACTTCTCCAGCTGCTAAGACTGTTGGAAGCTGACAGCCTTTAATAGAGACCCTCTTAGGCATACCCATGTTCATGTTCACATTCAGTGAGGGAGTATAAGGGCCCATCCCCCTTGCCGTGATTTTCGATCACTCAGAACCATCCCAGATTGAGAACTTCTAATTTGTTAATCTGAGGCTCTTATTTATTTATTTATTTATTACACTTTAAGTTCAGAGGTACATGTGCAGATTGTGCAGATTTGTTACATAGGTATACTTGTTACATAGGTATGTATTTGTTACATAGGTACCTATTTGTTACATAGGTATATTTGTTACGTAGGTGCTATGGTAGTGGTTTGCTGCATCCATCACCCTGTCATCTATATTAGGTATTTCTCCTAATGTTATCCCTCCCCAATCCCCCTACCCACTGCTATTCCTCCCCAGCCTCCCACCCCCCAGGTCCCAGTGTGTGATGTTCCCCTCCCTGTGTCCATGTGTTCTCATTGTTCAACATCCACTTATGAGTGAAAACATGCAGTGTTCGGTGTTCTGTTCTTGTGTCAGTTTGCTGAGAATAATGGTTTCCAGTTTCATCCATGTTCCTGCAAAGGACATGTACTCATCCTTTTTTATGGCTGCATAGTATTCCATGGTGTATATGTGCCACATTTTTTTTTTTTATCCAGTCCATCATTGGTGGACATTTGTGTTGGTTCCAAGTCTTTGCTGTCGTGAACAATGCCACAATAAACATATGTGTGCATGCATCTTTATAGTAGAATGTTTTATAATCCTTTGTGTATATACCCAGTAGTGGGATTGCTGGGTCAAATAGAGTGAACCAGCAACCAACAGAACGGGAAAAAATTTTTGCAATCTACCCATCAGATAAAGGGCTAATATCCAGAATCTACAGATAACTTAAACAAATTTACAAGAAAAAAACAACCCCATCAAAAAGTGGGCAAAGGATATGAACAGACACTTTTCAAAACAAGACATTTGTGTAACCAACAAACATATGAAAAAAAGTTCATCATCACTGGTCATTAGAGAAATGCAAATCAAAACCACACTGAGATATCACCTCATACCAATTAGAATGACAATCATTAGAAAATCAGGAGACAGGTGCTGGAGAGGATGTGGAGAAATAGGAAAGTTTTTTACACAGTTGGTGGGAATGTAAATTAGTTCAACCATTGTGGAAGACAGTGTGGCGATTTCTCAAGGATATAGAAATCGAAATACCATTTGACTCAGCAATCTGAGGCTCTTAACAACCACTGCATCATAGCTCAATTTCTTCTCCACCGGGCCTTGCTCCCTGCACTCCTCCCAAACGCAGGGATCCAAAGAGTACTCCCCAGTCAACTTCCTGCATTCTAATCTCCGTCTCAAAGACTGCTTCCCAGAAAAATTTACCTTTGAAAGTGTGAAAGTGTGGTGAAAGTGTGTTTTGCTCTATGTCTTTTCCTTTTGTTTTAGTTATTATTATTTCTTAGTATGGGCACTGTTTTCAATCTTTTCCTTTCTTGTTTCTGGTATTTTATGTCATGCTTAGAAGGGCCTTTCCCATCCCAGGAATATAAAGATATTCATCCATATTGTCTTATAGCACCTTTATGGTTTCCTTTCAAAAAGTTTTTAAATATTTGATTCATCAGTAATTTGGATGAGAAGAGACATAGGAACCTAGTTTTATTTCTTGTTTTTCAAATGCTTAATTGGTTCCCTGTACTATTTAATTTTAAAATTCCTTTATCCCTCCAAATGTCTCTAAGGTATAGTGTGGTTTTATCTTTTTTCCAGTTTCTAGTGATCAATGGCTAACTCATTTTTTCCATTGTATTTAGTAATTGAAACATTTAAATTATGAATTTTTCTCTAAGAGCTGTGTTGGCTGCAACTCATTCATTATTTTTTTTAGATATTATGCACTTAATTACGATTTCTATTTCTTTGTTTTAAAATAACTGTTTACATGAGCATCTAAACATTTATAGATGGTAGAGATTTTATGTGTTTGTAGATTTATTATAGCGAGATTAAAAAATCTGGTTTGCACTATTTCTTTTTTTTTCTTTTTTCTTATTGCATTTTAGGTTTGGGGGTACATGTGAAGAACATGCAAGATTGTTGCATAGGTACAAACATGGCAGTGTGGTTTGCTGCCTTCCTTCCCCTCACCTGTATCTGTCATTTCTCTCCATGCTATCTCTTCCCACCTCCCCACCCCCCATCCCTCCCCCATTTCCCCCCAATGGACCCCAGTGTGTAGTGCTCCCTTCCCTGTGTCCATGTGCTCTCATTGTTCAACACCCGCCTATGAGTGATTATTTCTATGTATCAAATCTATTTAAATATGACTGCTTACAAATTCACACGTCTACATTGCCCAAGAACCACACTGCCTTTTTTCCTCCCTATGTCTTTAGAGACTAAATATTTTCCTAGTTTTAAAATTGTTCCTTGTATTTTCTGTGAATTTCTTACATGCAAGTTTGAGCATCATTCTAAAGACTTTATGGCAAAAATGGCTGTTCAGATATAGCTTTTTTGTCTCCTCTTTGGTTCTCATTATTGTTTCTGAGTTCCTTTAGAGTTGGAAGTGTCACAGGATGCCAGGGCCACACTTCCCAACATACCTTTAGAGGTATAAAATAACATACCTTATTTTGCAAAGTGAATCAACCAAGGTGTCCAGGCTTGTTCCAAGCCAAGCCAGGGTATTAGCATTTCTAAGGTCCAGTCCCACTCCACTGTTTACTCCTTGTGTGACGGGAGACGAATCTCCCATTTTTTTCTCTGCCTCAGAATCTTCATCTTTACGTGGTGGAGGAGGGGAATGTTTTGAGTCTGGTGGTCCCTAGGCGCCGTCTAGTTTTGATTAGGGGAGCTAGAGTGATAGGCAAGGCAAAAGGGACACGGAGCCAGCACAGGCATGGGAGAAATGAAGGGAATCTGGAAAGGGTGCCACACACTCAGGCATACTCCTCCCTTCGTTCCTGTTCCCTACTAATGAGGAAAGGGTAAACCATCCATGCGTGGCAAGTATGGAAATTATGGATGGGAGAGAGGAGCAAAGATTTGGGTCATGGATTTCAGATTTAAAACCTGGACTGAGAACAAACTTGAACTCCCCAGAAACCAGCCACACCTTGAATGTTTCACTGATATATTTATTCACATATTTCCCCATTTCAGATGATGGTGACAAAAAGCAGATGGAGACCCCACCCTATCCACCCCCTAATAAATTACAGAATTACAAACACAGATTTACTCAGCATATACAAGCATTGGGGCATATCAAAATTCATTCTACTGGGTTACTAGAGCCAGCAGAGATCTGATCTTGGGGGCAGTCTGAGTACCTAAGGCTCAGAAATTGAGTTAAAGAGAAGTCGCCATTCTGGGCCCTGCCACTGCAGTACCAGCAGAGGTGACAGAGTAGAATCATGGTGAACTGAGCTGCCTACCCCTGTCATGTGGTCTAGAAGGTAACAGTAGGCTCTTGGGTAGCTTCCAGTGAGGTCCACAGTCCCATAGAATTCTGTGCTTCAGGGTTTCCATCTGTACAATGGGATAATAATCCTGTCCTAAAGATGTCACAGGGCTATCATGAGGCTCCAAATAGACACAATTTGTCAAAAATGCTTTGCCAAAGTTTCCGTGCACACAAATTTAAGGGAATTCAATTGATTAATTGTGATTGTTAGAGTGCCCCAGGTATAACGGTGGACTGGCTCATGGGTCCAGGGGCCAAGCAAGTGATAGAACTCGTATGGTGTGCCTTAGGTGGGCACCAATCAATGGTGAGTAATGCCTGCTGCAAAGCCAAGTTTCCTTAGTTTCTTGGCCCCAGGAAGTCACCAAGGCCTAGTACCTGGGTCAGGGCTAGGGAAAGTCACTGGGGAAGTTACAGAAAAGTCACAGGGGTCAAAGAGAAGGAAGAAGGTGGCATATAAAGCAGGGAGTAGTTACTATCATCACACACAAAAATAGATACCCATTGGATGAAGGGTATTGAATTAGTAGTAAGGATGAAAAATAGAGCCAGCAGGGAGAGGGACATGTCCCAGCAGCAGAGAGAGGAATGCTGTCCCAAATAGGCTCTCTTGCTGCCACCCTCATTCTAAAAATATAATGCCAGTGTCTATCTATCTGTAGAGAAAGGGGTAGCAGGGAGAAAGAACCAATAACATAATAATCTGACCAAAGGGTAGGGATCCCTTCCTCCTGCTACACTGCTGCCCAGCATCTTAATGAGGCATGAGGTATAGAGAAGCAACTAGTTGGTGCACTTTGAGGCTGAGGCCAGAGCTGGACCCAAAGCACTACAAACGCAATAGCGGGCTTCTGGAAAAACGCAGTGGTTGTCAGCACTGTTGAAAGATAGCTAATCCGCCTGTACATAGGCATGGTTTTAGGAAGCTCATCACTAGGTGCCTATGATTTTTAAGACTGAGCATCACAGACACTCCTTAAAGAAGAGGAAGGTGGCCCATTTATTAATAAATTGAGATGGGCTACCAAGGAGACTCAGTGAATGGGCCAGATCGGGAAGAAGTGCAGCAAAGACAAACCCTCTATAGGCTTCCGTCTGGGGAATTGGACAGTAAAATCTCTAGTTGCTCTTGCTGCTGCTGCTTTCACCCAACTCCCTTGGCAAGGGGTTTGGATCCCCTGGGGAACTGCAGAGGTTGCCTCACAGGGTACCAGCTGGGACCTACAAGTTAAGGCAAACAAGCCAATAGAGCACATTGAAGATGAAGAAGGTCACTGGGAAAACAACTCGCGAGTAGTTATCCAGGCGGTAGACGTGGATGCAGAGGCGGCCCTGCTGCCAGGTACTGCCCTCACAATCAGGGACCATGCAGAAGTACTTCTTAAAACGCTTACACCACTCACAGCTGGCCAGCTTGGAGTAGAGGCTGCGGGGACCCTCAGGGCTACCTGGGCTAGGGAACTGCTGGGCTGAGCAAGACGGGCGGTCCTCTCCATCACTTCCCTCAGTGGTGACAATCTGGCACACAAAAGCTTCCTGATGTTGGCGGGCACAGGCTCGGGCACGTACACGGGCACGGGTATGAGTACGGCTATCGATACAAGGCTAAAATGGACAAGGAAAGAAGTGGGGAAAAGTCAAGGGAAGATAAACCAAGTCTAGGTGCTGCCTCTGGATTTTCTGGAAACTGTCTTTGGCACACCATATCTTGGTTTGTCACCTCCAAGTTCTCACCATTACATAGAGAAGTTGATTCAACTCCCCCCACCAACCCTGGGTAATACCTCATCACTCAGCAAGCTGACCACCCATGTGCCATAACCCTAATGCCCTTGCTAGAATGTCTTCACACTCCAAATCCTTGCCACCACTCCCATACCCAGTTCATACATGGCGGAGTTTCGGAGAAGCATGGGCTTTGGTCTGGTTGTAGATCAGGAAGTTGAGCACAGCAAACTCCAACAGGGCGCAGAAGCAGAAGACGAAGCAGATAGCGATATAGAAATCCAAGGCTGTGATATAGGAGACACGCGGGAAATTCTTACGAGAAAAGGTGCCCAACGTGGTCATGGTGACAACAGAGGTGACCCCTGCAAGAGCACAGGAGTAGAGGTGGACTCAGCTTCTGACCTATATGCTACATTGGTTGAAGGACTCCATGACAAGGCAACTCTTTTGTGGCCCAGCCAACTCCCAGCCATGTGCCTATGTGTATGCCTCTTTCCTCTCTTACCTACAGAGGTTCGGGCAGGAGCAGACTCTGTCTTGATCCAAAAGGAAACCCAGGAGAGCATCGTGGTCATGGAAGAAGGGACATAGTTTTGAAAGGCAACATAGCCAAACTGCCTGCTCACATTGAAGAAAATCGTCATGACCATGAAGTCACCTGAAAGACAGAAAAAAGGTCACTGCATTACATGAGGGTCTCCCTAGCAGGACATGCACAGTAAAGGTTTCACCGTTCAGCTCACAGTATTCCCTAGGATACAGGCATGATGTTACAATGCAATATATACAAATAGGATCAGAAGAAGTCCAGAAAAAAGACTTACTGCAAGACCCATGGCCAGTTAACAGCTAAGTCAAGGCCAGAATCTTAATAGCTTCATTCTCAGTTCACTCTCCCACATTCAATGTCTGTCTCTGCAGGGTGGCAAGAAAGCCCAGTGAAAGCCTTTTCGATATCATGCCCATGCAGCCAATATCCAGATGGCTGACTGAGGGCTTCACACCCACTGAGCCCACTGAGACATGTCATACCTGGACTGCTGGCCCTCAGAATGTCTATTCTCAGCAAATGAGACCAGGAATGTCTGTGCTGTGGTGGGGAAGCACAGAATGCTTTCAGCCTCCTTTCTACACATTCGTATGATGGCAAAATGCCTTAGTGAGGTAGCACTGCTCCACTGATGGTCAAAACCGGGACTAGCATGCTCCCCAAACTTTTGGTGGCTCCCTATTCCACATGAGCTATAGACTCAATCTGCACTCTGGACTCTGATGCTAAAGGCCCACCATGACCCATCTCCAACTGACATTTTACACTCAACACTCTCACACATCTTACCTAAAGCCAATCCCATCTGCTCACAGATTTCCTGAGATAGCCTGCAAATTTACACCAATAATCTAACCCTGGACTCTCTGGTCTTAGTCTAGGCCCTCTAACCCAAATTGAATGTTTCAGGAAATTAGAAGAATGAGCTTAAAATGAACATTTCAGTAAGCCCTCCAGATGTCAGATCTGTGGAGTACATATCCACAGGGCAGAGTGAGGTCCTCATAGTCACTTGGACACTGTGTCCCTGGTCATGGCTTTTAGCTAGACAGTCATGGCTCCTCCAGGACCTGAAGACAAAGTATATCTCTAGTTGGCATCTTTTTTTTATACCATTCATGCTGCTTTATGCTCTGATGAACCTTCTCCATGATAACAGGAGGCATGTTATCATGACTCCTGGGCTTGTGTGGGCTTTTCTCTGAGCCCAGGACATCGTTTTCCACTCTCAGCATCACATTGGAGTTGTGATACTATAGAATTCCTAGGCCCATAATCAGGTGGGCTTTTAAGTCCCTTCAAGGCATGTCTCATGTGGGCCCTGTGACTTAGCCCCTGCCCATCCAAGTTCAGAACAGCTTGGAACCCAGCAGACACTCAGCAACTCTTGCGCCTGCCAGGCAACAGCTTTGTAAAGCAGACCAGAACACTAACCTGTCCCTGTGTCCTATTTTGGAAAGTAGATCACCTGCCCAGCAGGTCAGGATTGGCTGAAGCTGAACGAGAAGAGCTGAATTACTACTCACCTTGCTTGGCAGCACTGAAACTCAAGGAGCAAGGCTTCTCAGATTCGTCTGGAAAAAGGCATGGGAGTGACCTGTTTTAAGTGGGAAACCTGTGTGTTGAGTATAGCTTTGCGATAGAACTCCTCCAGACCTTATGCTCAGACCACCCTCACACTTGCCTACTTGCCAGAATGTATTTATCAAAAGCCCTCTTGCCCTGGGATCTTGACTGCAATTTAGGGCACTTCTAATTGCTGGGTTTGTTTAATATACGGCCAAAAAAAAGAAGCTTCTCCATTTGTCAAGAGGTGGCAATTTGTCTTGAAGGACAAGAGAAAGATGCTAACACACACTTTTCTCTTCTTCAGGAGTTAGAGAAGCACAGGTAAGAAAAACATATATATCTGGGGCTGAGGAACTAAAGCAAAAAATACATGCTAAAGATGGTTTTATGCTCAAACTCTTATCCTCTTTGACCAGACCATCGTTGGTCACTTCAGTGTCAAAGGGACGCAATTAAAAAGATCATGGTCAGAGGACTGGGACTAGAAGGATGAATGGACTCAAAGTTTTGAAGAATAAGGGAAGAAAAATAAACTAGAGCTATGTAGACTACAACAGACTATGATCCGTGCCGGGAATGATAATGCTGATCCTTTCATCTTGGCCCTGTGAAACTGTGGCTGGACTAACGCAAGCTGGATAGTTCCAAGGAAAAATAACTAGACCCAATGTGTGGAACTTCCAGAGACTCCAATTTCAGATGAACAGGAAGTGTCTTCTGATGGACAGAACTGTCTAGAGAAGAAAAAAACCGCCTTGTAAGACAGTGAATTCCTGACCAGCAATAATATTCCATTGGAGGATCCACAGTCATTAGTGAATGACAAGCCACTCCCTGGGGCAGGGCTGGACTCTCTTTGAACCTCCTGAAGCAGAGATTCTCTGGCTCAAAGTCCAAGATGGCCAGAGTAGCAGGCTACCACTGAATTCTAAACCCTTAGGAGATGACCACATAAGTATGCTCCAGAGGGAGAGACCTGTCCTAGGGTCCAGCTGGAAGAGTTTGAACTCTCAAGTCCAAAGATAACTCTGACACTGAAGGAACCATATCTCAAGATCAACTAGCCTCTAGCAGAGGAGAAAGAAGACCTCTTTTCTCCCCAACAATCGTCTTCACTCCCAAGGAGGTCTGGTGCTTACCTACTGTCACCACTTTGGTGATGATACTGGCTCTGGGGCTTTGTAGTCACTAGGGCACCATTTTGAAACAATGCACAATCATCTACTAAATGGAACCACGAGTGACTTGAAAGCCCCTGGGCCTTATCTCCTCTGTCACTTTTGATGATGGGTCCCCACCTATCTGGTAAAAACTGAGGTGTGGAAAGCCAAGAGGCAGGACTATGGTTAGCTGGCAGAAGAGCAAGGCTCCCAAGTCAAAGGTAGTAAAACTGCTTCCCCAGAGTTCCCAAGAAAAAAAGGCAAGTATTTGTAAGACACTCCAGCCCTCATCCCCTTCCTAGTACTGTGCAAGCAAAGCTCTGGCCACATGAGCATGAGCTTTATCTCATCCAGAGAATGACTCAATAATAACTCAACAAATGAAACAAAAGCAGATTTTTCTGCCTAGTCACATGGTAGCAGAACAAGATGCCTCTCACGACAAATGGCTGGTTGGGTTACTGGCTCCATCCACACTCTGGAAACGATGAGGGCAGTGCCTTCACCGCCCTGAACTTGGTTAGGATGCATGAAGAGTGTTTCCAGGGCTGCTCTGGGAGCTACCCTGGGGAGTTCCCTTGGCTCCTCATTCAGATCACCTAGGAACATAAGTGAAGATGATCACATCTAATTGCAAGCTGAAGTGTAAGAGGCCCAGGGCCTTCCCTTTTAGTCTTTGTTAGAGAAAAGGTCAGAAAACCAGTGGTCACTATGCTTATGTTAAATCCACCATGAACTCTGACAAGAATTTGTGCTTTTTAGACCTGTTCCTTTAAGATAAATGCCAAAGCAGCAGCCACTGTAGCTGCTATAACTTCCTCCAGACTATCCAGCCTTAAATTAGCTCACATTAGAGTTCCAGCCTCCACCTCCCACTATAATGGACTTTGCTTCCCATTCAGCCACCTTGGATTGGTTCTGGGTATGGAGAACTCATATGAGCTCCATTCCCCAGTCATCCAAGTAGGTCAATGTTGTAACCTTGAAACTGAAGTCTGCATGAAAAAGCCAGCTGCACATTCTGACAGCAACAGAACTTTATCTACTTACCTAATATCTCAAGGAGCTCGGCAAAGCACTTACTTCTTTGCAGATAAAACTGAGACATAGTTACAAAGTCTCAGTTTCCTCTGCAAACAGTTGTAAGTGCTTAGCAATTATAAGACAGGAGCCATGTCTTACAATATTTCCATGGGATTACTGCAAAGCATTTGTATGGCTGGCCATCTCCAATCATTCCTACTACCTTCCTGGACTTCTGCCAAGCCCTGGTTTCCATGGCATACTTACCAGCTGGGGTTGAGATTATTTCAGTTTTGTTGCTCACTCCTGTAAAATCAAACTGGAAGAGCTTCCAGGAGTTCTTCTCATTGATTTCAAGCTTGAAATTTTCCCACTTGTAGGTCATCTCATTCTCAGGATAAGAAACTGGAAAGCAATGTGAGAAACAGGGTCATATGAGACTTGGAAGCCCATCTGGGTCTCCAACAGCATAGAGTCAGCCTGCACAGTCTTGGAGTCCTGTCTGTGGTCTCACCAGCTGTGGGACCTTGCCTCTCTTACCTCATTGTTGAAGTCCATTCAATAAGTGCATTACTGAGCATTCCTCAGTATCAGGCCCTGGGCTGGAAATACAGAGATGAGCAAGGCATGAACCTATCCTCAAAAATTTACATTTAATTTTATAAGACAGTGAGTATACTACTGTGATTTTGGAGGTGCCCTGAAAAACCTATGCTCGTGGAACAGTGGGGAAACAAAGCAGATAAAGGTCATTTGCAGACATACTAAGAAAAGACTTCATAAAGCAGGTGATAGCCCCATTAATCTTGAAACTCAAGTAAATATTTTCAGTAAGAATGAGTTTGAAATGATTAAGGGGCAGCATAGAAAGGCGAAACACCTTGTGTATTGTGGAAAAGCCAAAAGTTCAGGACGGCTAGCTCACAGAGGATGAGGAGCATAGAAGTGGCTGGCAAAGTACAGTTCATGAATGGTTTTGAGGATAATTCTAAGGAATTTCGAATTGATTCATGACAGTTAAGGGCAGATTTGAAAGTGAGAAGTGATCTGGTCTAGGTGACTTTTCAGCTAGGTCGCTTTGGTCCTTCCGTGAGGATAGTATGTTGGCAAAACAGGCCAGTGTATTAATCCAGTCACAATTAAATTAATGCAGGTGGAAGTCAAAGCTGTGACAGAGTGCAGACAAACAGACAACATTGATAGAGACTGGGAGGAAGCACCAATAGGATGTGCAGATTGATTAGATACAGGAAGTGAGGGAGAGGGAACACCAAAGTTCTTGATTTGGGCAACTGGGTGGGTGATGGTGCTCTTCAATGAGACAAATGGGAACACAGAAGCAACACTCCTGTTTTGGTGGTAGAGGTTTGGAGGAGACAATGAGTTTTGTTTCGGACATGTGCAGTTTCAAAGTGAAGCTGTGGCAAAAGTCCAAGTGAAAGATGACAAAGGTCTAAACCAAGGTAGTGCCAGATGGAGAGGAGTACACATACTTGAGGTACATTTCAGAGGCACGTGGACGGGTTGAGCAACACAGTATTGTTGGCAGGAAAGGAAATGAGGGTGGAAGATGGAAGCCCTGCACAACCTTGGCACCATTTTAGGAGAAAAGCAGAGGCAGAAAAATGTAAACGGCAAGGATGAGAAAAGGAAGGAGCCCAGCATGTCTCTCGGGCCCCAGAAACCTAAGAAGGTACTCACAGCTAGAGAAAGACAGAGGGCAAGAGTGAGAATCCATTGGAAATCTGAGCATGTGGAGTGAGCATCCAGCATCAATGGTCATCCTGGAAGGGAGAAAGGAGCCTCATTAGGCTGATCCTAAGCACTTTCATATTCACTCAACTTTGGTCTACAGACCAATACCAATGAATAGCCAGAGTTGATTTTTGTTTGCTTGTTTGTTTGTTTATTTGAGACAGTCTCACTCTGTCACCCAGCCTTGAGTTCAGTGGCATGATCTCAGCTCACTGCAGTCTTTTGCCTCCCTGGCTCAAACAGTTCTCGTACCTCAGACTTTCAAGTAGCTGGAATTAGCACCATCATGGCCCGCTAATTTTTGCATTTTTAGTAGAGACGGTTTTTCCATGATGGCCAGGCTTGTCTAGAACTCCTGACCTCAAGTGATCTGCCCGCCGCAGCCTCCAAAGGGGTTGGGATCACAGGCATGAGCCACCACACCCAGCTCTCAGTAGAATTTAAGACAAAAAGCTCAAAGAAGAGATAACAAAAGAGAAAAAACAAAACAAAACAAATAGACAAACAGCTTAGAAGTATCTGGCTACTCTGGGCTCCATCATTAAAGAAGCATATGGACCAACTTTGATAGGCTTTTCTTTTTCCCTCACCCAGCCCAGCTTCCAGGACCTGCCAACATCCTCCCACTCTTCCCCACCTTTCTGCCCCCGACCCACAATCTTCCCCTGTTGGGAATTCAAGTATCCAACCTGATCTTAGGTACCTTTGCCACTGCTGTGCTTCTGCACCACCTGAACAACTCCACCACTGTGGACGTATCTTTATAACCAGTGCCCACTTGGGATGGAATTGTCTAGGTAATGCAGTCATACTGTCACATCCTAGTTGGGGGAGTTTTGGACTTGGAGCCAAGTAACTGGGTACCAGTTCCAGCTCTGTCACAAACTTGGTGTGTGGCTTCAAGCAGTATCTTCCTATTTTGAGGCCTCTATATCTGTTACATGAGGCAGCTGAGCTCATGGTCTAGGAAAGCTGGACAGGCCCTTAGAAGTATCATTCAGAATGAGATCTCTGCCCATGGATCTTTAGCTAAAATTATCAGAAGAGGAGAGAATCCCAGGAGGTGAGACTCCAGAGGCTTGACCTACCTAATTGTGTACAACACCTTGCCATCCTTGTAGATGCGGACCATCTGGTTGGGCATCGTGATCTCATGCTCTTGGGTTCTCTTAGAATTTCTAAAAAAGGTGTCTGGGATCCATAGCTGGCTCACCACGTTGCCACTCAGAACAAGAGACTCAAAGGTGTCATTGTAACAGAGGCGTTCATCATACCAGGTCTGGAAGAACATGATGTCAATGGTGTATTCCTGGTGGGAAGGACAGAAAAGCAGACACTTGGGGGTAAGCAGAAAAAGGACATTGCAATGCTAACATACTGTTTGCCACTCCCTAACCTAGAATCCTAAAGGCAATGTGGTGGAATGTATGCAGCACTGGGCCAGGAAGCAACTCAACACTCTCTCAGTTCCTACATTTCCACAGTAAATCAAAGATCCCAGCTCAAAATTGCTTTAAAAATTTAGAAGCACACACACCATTGATTGCATACACTTAAGTTTCCCCTTTCAATTTTTATTTGGGGAGGACAAATATTAATTAACCACACTCCTTCATTCTCCAGAATTAAAATAAAAATGAAGCATTTTGGATGTCTGGTGCTGTGGCTCATGCCTGTACTCCCAGCAGTTTGGGAGGCCAAGGTAGGAGGATCACGAGGTGAGGAGTTCGAGACCAGCCTTGCCAACGTGGTGAAACCCTATCTCTACTAAAAATACAAAAATTAGCTGGGTGTGGTGGCAGATGTCTGTAATTCCAGCTATTCGGGAGGCTGGCAGCAGTATCCCTTGAACCTGGGAAAAGGGGGTTACGGTGAGCTGAGATTGTGCCACTGAACTACAGGCTGGGTGACAGAGCAAGACTTCATCTCAAAAAAAAAAAAAAATTAGTGTTTTGAGTCACAAGAGAAATGTCTATTTAGTCTCATGTTTTTTTAAACAAGAAGAACCTTTTGTTCCCCTTGTTTTGATTTTCCTTTCAAATAAGTGCTTGTAACCTCTGAAAGTGTGTGTGCATGTGCATAGATATATCCATGATTATTTGGTCTCCAGATATTTTCTGTACCATAAAATATCTGTTAAACATAAACAATGATATTTAGTAGGAAGAAGCTAGAAATGTGCACCACTGGTGTTGAAGGGAGAAAGAAACCAGACAGCAATAGAACTGCAAGCAGCTTGAGCAGCAAGTACCACAACTAGGCCAATATAGAACTCTGACGGCTAGCCCAACATCCTTTATTTTAGAGATAAGGAAACTGTGAGGCTCCTTGAGAAAGGAGTCAATCCAAAGTCACACAAATAGTCAATGGCAGCCTTGCCCTGGGATGGCTTTCACTTGCACCAACAATCCTTTTAGGTACCAATGTCCAGTTTTCTCTGCAGAATCCCTAGGTCTTTCCCCTGAGTTCTGCATCCAACAATGAATACGCACAACTATGGAGGCAGGTAGGGCCCTTAGGGAAGAAATAAAGAAAATCCCTGATTGTCTTTGCTGCCAAGCCACCAAACTGCTGGGAACCAGCCATGGAAGAGAAGACTGAGAATGTTCCCTGGAATAGCCCAGAGTAGCACACAGAAAAGAGCTGGCAGAGCCTGGTTCCCATTTGTATGAGAGTCTCTGACTCTTCCATGCCCCACCTGCCTCCACAAATAGCCTTCCAAGTATTTCTACTGTCCCAAGTGGCTGGCAGTTCCAACTTGGCTAGCAGAGCCTCGTTCATTTCCAGGCTTCATGAACTGCTTGGTAGCCTGTGGGAAGCCTTTCCGTCTGCACTCACACTGTGCTTATGCTTTATGTTATGAAGTATTTCAAATGAGCATTTAATTTCTATTTGACAATTTTAAGTTCATTGCATATCAGCTGATAACTAAAAGTTCAGTTTTTCCCCAGTTTGACAAAGGAGCTTGTGATGTACATCTCTTTTAGCTCAGCCAAAACTCTAGAAATTCAGAGTTTTGGAAATAGAATCAACTGTGATAATTACCACAGCAGAAAAAAAGAAAAGAGTTAGCAACTATTGATGCTACAATGAGCAGTCATTCCCAGATTACTCATTCCCTTTTAATCCCAGACTGAGTGTTCCAAAACCGCGCACTCAGGTTTTCCTCTCTGAGGACAAGGCCTGCTCTCTATACAACATTTGACTAAAAGGTGTTGAAACTCTCCTCAAGCAGCTACACCAAGTATGTACCCAATGCCAGGATTCACATTTCTGAGAAGGCTCAGCTTCCTCAAATGTAAAACAGGGATCCATATCCTAATGGCAGCTTTGGCTTCCATGCAGGCTGTCATGAGGATCCAAAGAGACAAGAATGTGCTGGGTACTGGCATATTCTGTGACTGTGTGGCAGAAGCATGGGTCCCCTCCTTACCAAGTACACCACAGAACAGGGACCTCCCACGGCTTAAAAAAAAAAAAAACTGTTTGGAACCATGTAGAAGACAAGACATCTCAGGATAATTTAAAACTACATGTAAGAGTTTGGAATTTACAGAAGACTCTTGGCTCAGGATAAAGCACCTCCTTACCGGCCAAAGAAAATACAGTTTTTGGCTCTTTTGTGAACTGCCCTATGTTCCATGCTAGGTTTGGTGACTGCTGGGTTATTAGAGTATATCCTTAGAGCATTGTCAAGTGAGGCCCCACTGGTGGCAGGATGAAGCAAACCAAAGCAACTTAGTGCCCCCTGCTCCATTTGTCAATATGTGTGTTCTCTTCACTCCACCTAAGGAAATTTAGCTGCCACCAATTGTGTAGAGAGTGATACGTTAGAAAAGAACGAACAAACCAGCTTGCTGGCAATTGGACTGGTTACTTACAAATCAGGTTGGCAGTGCCTTAAAGTCAAGCCAAAGGACCACAGAAATAGAACAAAGGAACAGAGAAATAGATATGCAAATTTCTAGGAGCCATGAGGTTACTGTGGACTGAGCACTATATTTGGCTTTTGGGATGCTAAAGGGGAAAGGCAGAGACTGGTGCAGGATGCTCTCTGTCCAGCTGGAATACATCCTGAGCCACTTCCCCCACTCCTACACCAATGACCTGAAATGGTCAGCAATGTCCACAATGGTGGGACCACAAGCCCTCAACCTCTGGTTCTTACACAGAACTTAGTGTTTCTTAGTTTATAAACAATGCTAGCAAAACTAATTACTAAATTCATAGTCATTTTAAAAACGTAAATTGCAAGACAAAAAGGAGACTACAATTCTCACAGTGGTAAACACACTGTTAGCAGTGAAAAAGTAAATCTGACATCAAGGGAAGAGACAAAAAAAACTCCACCAATTTTAAAGTGTAGACAGAAACTCAAAAGCATCTGTCTACTCTCATGTGTCTGTCCTTTCTTGTTAGTTCTCAGCAACTCCATTCTAGGAGTTGCTCTAACAGAAGAACATAATAATCACGTGTAGCAGGCAGACTCTGAGATGTCCACCAATGTTCTTCACTTCCTGGTATTTGTGCCCTTCTGTAATCCCCTCCACTTTACAGGGGGATGGACCTCATGATTTGCATCTGATGAGGAGAGTACCACAGAAGCAATGGGATGTCACTCCTAAAATTAGATTAGAAAAAGCCTGTGATTTTCATCTTGAGCACCTTCTCTACAATTCCTCACTCAGAAGGAAGCCAGCTACCATACTGTGAGCTACCCTGTGGATAGGCGCACATGGCAAGGATGTAGGGAGATCTCCAGACCCCAGCCAGAGAGGAAATGAATCCTGCCAGTCCCATGAGTGGTCTTGGAAATGGATCCTCTCTCAGTTGGGCCTTCAGATGAGACTCCAGTCCCAGCTAACACCTTGATTACAGGTTTGTGAAAGACTCTGAAACAAAGAACCCAGCTAAGCCTGGATTCCCGACCCACACAAACTGTGAGATAATGATTATTTGTTGCTTTAATAAGACAGTATGTTTTGGGGATAATTTGTTAGATAGTATTGCATAAATAGTGTGCCTGAAGAATCGGGCAGTCAAAGCCTCATGGTGGCAGCGGTGGGGGACCTTCCTCTTTGACTTAGCCTATGTAAACACCTTGATTTTCCATGAAGGTTAACTTATCTTTGAGTGTCTATTTGCAAGACCCACCTAAGAGCCAAGGCTCTAAACTCACCCAGTCACATGGCACTTTTTGGATACCAGTGAATATGCTAAAATTTTGTTTGCCCTGGGCCAAGCCAAGTCTGTGGCTGTGATGGAGTTGCTTATCGCAGCCTTCCTTAGTGTCAGGCTCTGAAGATGCAAGTGATTCTTGCAGAACATCTTTCATCACTCATTTGCTTAGCTAACACATACTGAGCCCTTGACATCAAGGAGCCCACGGTGGAGACAGGAACGCAGAAATACCACAGGTAATTACAATGAAATGACGTAGGGAATCAGGTAAACGATTGTGATATAAGCTCTAAAGATGTAACTGCCAAGGAGAGAAATGTGGTGTGAAAAAGAAAGAAGCAATTAACAGGTGTGGAGGTCTGGGGAGATGCCATGAATGAGATGTCATCTGAGCTAGATACTGAAAAAGAAGGCAGCTGACAAGTAAGAAAGTAGAACAATGGCATACCAAACAGAAAATCACTTGAAGGAGAGCTCAGAGGCACAAGGTGATCTGCAAACACCCATACTCCAGTGTGACCAAAGCATGTGGTCTCTAAAGGGGTGAAGAGGAATATAACCATGGAAGGCCTTGAACTTCATGTAGTAAACAGAGCCAGGACTGCAGGAAGTGCATCACTTGGGAGACCAACTTAGTAGGTAGATTGGAGTAGGTGTATTCTAGGTGGGAGATGATGAAAGCTAAATGGGGGCAGTGCTGACACTATGATGATACTAGTGGAAAGGAAAAAAAGAAGTAGAGCAAAAATACAGAAACAGTCTTAGAGCAAGAGCTAATAACTTTAGACTTATGTCCACACAAATAATTACCAGAAGAAAAGAGGCATTCCATTGTGGTGTTTAAAATTGCTTTATTATTTTTATTTTCAATGAAAAAACTGGACGATACGGTCTTGATTCTGAAGAACCTCTTCAAGTAGCAAGAGACTTACCTTTTCCAGTGTCATTCTCAAGTCAGTGGTTAAAACACCCCTTCCTCCCTCCAGAAAATAAATTATTGGGGTTGTTACAGACATACAGAGCGGAAAGCAGAAAGTCTGTGGAATGCCCTGTAGGTCAGCCCCTGGGCTAGGAAATACTGTAAGGAAAGCTTAGTACTCACCATGTCCTGGATAGAGAGAGGACCAAGGCTGTTGACAGAGATCTCAACAGTGACTACAGTGGCCTTCTCTGTAAGGGAAGTAGAAGCAGCAGAGGGTAAGTGTTAAGCAGGGTCATGGGATAGGGGAGGAAGTGGTCAGAGGGGATGAAAGGGGAGTCAAGTAAGTGTTGGACCACACAGGTTCAGTGTTCAATCTCATTTCTTTATTTCTTCTTCCATGGCAAAACCCAGCTCATGGACTCTTAAGAATTGAACATACATCTTGAAGATCAACAACCTAGTTTAATCCTCTCACTTTACGGTTGGAAAAACTGAAGGCAAGAGAAAGGAAAAGTCTTAATCAAGGTCAATGACACTGCTGAGACTAGAGTTAATATCTCTTACCCAACAGGTCAACATCGGATGCTCCTGTTCATGCACATGGCACACTGTTTTATAGCCCAGGCCCATTCTCCATGCTTATACCCTCAACCCCTGGACCTTCCAGGAGGGAAAAACTTTGTTCTGCTACTCACCTCCAATGCCAGGGCGCAGTTTGTGGTCATAATTATTCAGGATAGTGTTCAGGATGCGAGAGGCTTGTGGCAGTTTGCCAACTCTGCGCCTAGTCTCAGTCTTAGTTGACTGTGTTTTCTCAGAGAGAAGCTTATTTTCCAGAGGCTGGGGCAGGGGGCCATAGACGACATCATGGGCAGAGGCTTCATCATTTGATTCAGTCTGAGGTCCCTCGACCCTAGAACATACAAATGAAAAATGAAGCTCTGCCTTGCACTCTGTAGGGGCCCCAGCTGGTGCCTCTTGGGACAGAAGCAAACCAAAATAAGTTTTCAACGCAAAGCTTAATTAAATTGTGACTGGTAAAAGCAAATGATAAGAGAGTGACAGATAAGGCTTGTGAATTTCTTTTAAATCTTGCTGCTCTTTGGGGACTTTCTATGCTGTCCCTCTTTTATGATAACTCTTTTATTAAAAAACAAAAACAAAACAACAACAACAAAAAAAAAAACAAAAAAACTAAGACCTAGGTTTTAAAAGAATGTTCCACGTGAAATGAAGACGGCATTTGTGTGTGAGCGCTGGCCCACTGTGACTAGCCTTGGCCTCTAGTCAGCCTGACCAGCACCACCTGGGAGTGAGGAGCAGGCAGAGGGCCAGGGCTGAGAGGAATGCTTGCGAAAGCCAGAACAGCCTCTCCCAGAAAGGCCCAGAAAATTGTAGGAATATTTTGCAGTTTTGTGGTTGTGTAATACTCGTTGCACTGGGGGCAGGGGAAGGGGGTGAAGGGAAGGAGGCTAAAGAGCAGCCTTTGTGGGTATCTGAGCAGGAAAGGCAGGAGTCCTCCACCCAGAGACAGCCAGCCAGGAACTGGCTGCCCAACAGAAGTCCACCCTGAGTTCCACAGCCATGCACCACAGCCAAGAAAAAGAAGAGGATTAGTAAGACTAAGTGAATTAAACAAAAATGTTAAAGCCCATCTGCCAAGGTATGAAACTCACCGATAGTGTTAGAAGTCCGGATAGTGCTGCCTTTGCTGGGAGGCAGTGACAAAGGGGGCTTCTGAGGTCCTGCTCATGTTCAGGTCCTTGATTTGGCTTTCTTTACACCGCTGTGCTCATATTCTGATAACTCATCAGCTGTATGCTTATGATTTGAGCCCTTTTCTGTATACATGTTCTAATTCTATAATAAGTGTTTAAAAAATCAAAATGCCCCACCTGCTAATATCTGGATCTTGTTTTATTTAAAAGAAAACTCTTAAAAACAAACAAATCATTTATGACACAATAGGAGAGATTTGAACACTGAGTGGATAGTTGAGGCATGAATAAATTATTTTTAAATTTTCTGTATAATTATCATATTTTCTTATGTTTGTGAAATCATTAATGACTACAAATACATATTAAAACAGTAACATATAAAATGATATGATGTCTGAGATATGCTTCAAGACAATCTAAGTCACAATTGCAGGGTGGGTGGGGTAAAAGAAAATAAGAGTGGCCATGAGCTCACAAACAATGGGGCTGGTGATGGCTACATGGAGATTCCATGTACTGTTCCCTCTACCTTTATATATCTTTGAAAAAAATATAATTAAGTCTTTTTAAAAGCCAACATTTCATATTAATCTGATACTGGAAGGCAGGAGAGTGGTTTCTGTTAGGGAAGAAAGTGTATGGGGACAGGCATTGGAGATGCGTGTATGTGTGTTTGTGTGTGTGTGTGTGTGTGTGTGTGTGTGTGTGAGCATGTGTGTGTGTGTGTGTGTGTGCATGTGTGTGTGCGTGTGTGTGGTGAGAGGGTTGCAATGCTCTATTTCCTGATCTAGGTGTTGGTTACATGGGCCTGTTTACATTGTGAAAATCCGGTGAGATGTTCACTCAGAAGGTCTATGCTTTTATATTGGCATGTCAGAATTCAAAAATGATTTTTTTAAGCCGTAAGGCAATTTGCTTCGTAAAATAATGGGTAAAATAAAAACAGGGCAAGGGACGTTGGCATGACCCCTGTATTGCAGACCAAGGGACTGCCAACGTGGGCAGCAAAATGCATTTTTCTGCAGTATTTTAAGCTATTAGAATTGCTTGAGTGGCATGCAGATGTGCCAAATCCACACCATTTCTCATATATGAAGTGGTTACTTCGCATTGTGCGCTAGGGAAGAACTGGGCTTGAAAAATACAGTTTTTATTTTCAAATGCCGTATCTAGAAGATGTCCTCTTTCCCTGAGGCCAAACTCTCAGTCCTCTCAAAAGATAAGAGCCAGAGACTATGTGAAGGGAGGAGGGAAAATGGAGACCTGAGACCCTGCAAAATGAGTGATGTGGCTGGTAACTTGGCACAGTCAGAACCAGCAGTAAGTGGTAGGCTGAGCACTGCCAGTGGGGACCACCTAAAAGCCTGAAGTGGCCCCTCCAAGATGTCTGAAATCTATGGACAAGATCACCCCTGTCCCCTCCCAGGTTTAAAAGTGCAGAGGCAAACAAATAAACCCAAAAGCACTGGGACCACCAAAACCCTCCTGCCCCTAGACTAGGTCTGCAATGAAAATGATATCAGAGGATCATAAGGTGGCTTTCATCTAAAATTAGGGCTAGAAAGAATAAAAACTTGAAAAACACTCATACATTGGAATAGTGGGATTTTCAAGGGGAGTTTTCCAGGCATTCACATGTCTCCAGACATAATGGTCCGTAATGAAGTTGAATCTCTGCACTACCCCCTCCCCAACAGTTGACTGGTGGCAGTGGTTGGGGGGGGCATAAGAAGAGATGTTAGATTTATTTCCGAAATCAGATCTCTTTTCCATTCTACAGATGGAGAAACTGAAGCCCAGATAGAAGAAGGACTGTGCCCAAAGTCACACAACTGATTTGAGAGCTGAGCCTGGACCAGAGTCAGATATCCTGGTTCAGTGCGGCCCAGCACACCCCGTTGTCACGTCCTCAGGTCTTTGCTGACACCACAGGTTGCTATGCTTGAAGAGTAGTTTCCATTTCCCCAGGCCCTTTTTCCTGCTGTTTTCCTCTCTGACCACCCTCTCTTCGTATTTCCCTCACCTCAGCGCCATCTTTTGCCCTAAGCAGTCACCGTGTCAGCTTTCTCAACTAGTTATCCAAATCTCATTTGGAGGGATGTGGATAACTGGAAATTGCTAGCACGCATAAAAAAACATCTACCAAGCCTATGCAGAGGCTAGTCCCACTCCAGGACACTAGTGAGACAGCAGGGAGCCAAACCTCCCCTTCCCCGAGCTAACGCCATCTGGGGTCCGGAGAGAAGCCACTCCCCACTCCCCACAACGGATAAAGAAGACAGAAGCTCAGTGCCATAGAAACTTCCATAAAGCTCCACAGACCAGGAAGCTTGCAAACTTGTGACACTTCACACTCAGAAGGAACCATCTCAAAACAACAACAACAAGAAGAAGGAAGCCGTCATCTTCCACCCCCAAAAGCCAGAAATCCAGGGGACAACCTTCCTAGCCAATTCCAAGGGCCAGGAGAAAGTGTGAGAGAACGTGGTTGTTCAAGGGAAACCTGAAAATGGAGAAGGGGATTGAAATCTAGGACCCAAACCACATACTTCAGAGGAAAGTAACATTCCTGGACTTTGGTTCCAGTGGGGCCAAGGCCCAGCAGGGTATCTAGGAATAAATTAAGTTAGAGGGAGGCTATCAGCGGTGGGGAGAGGGGTATAGCTGGCGCGGGAACCCTTAAGACTAAACCGAAGCTCTTGACTGGGACTGACACCAAGGGGAGCAGCGGTATGGGAAGCAAGTAAAGTCAGAGTTGCCTGGCACAGTGCCTGGTACTCAGTAGGCACTATTAAAAAAATGTGCGCAGCAGAGAACAGACGAGGCAATACTCACACATTTCTGGCGCAGTTAAGCTCCCTCAGCTGCTCACCCCCTTCTCAAAATGAACCCCCGGACCCCAGTAGCTGAATCCTGCCCTGGCCGATCACACGGGGACCGCTCCCCTCTTCCTGCACAAGACTCCGAAAAGGAGTGCTTGTCACCCAGGCACCGCAGCGCTTCTGTGAGCGGGAGTCCAAGAACTGGAGTCCCGTCTTCCTTTAGGGGATCGCCTTCAACGACCCCGGGATCCCAGCCTAGAGGGAGCGGGGCGTAGGCCGGCGCGCATCGAGGGGACGCGAGATTTGGCCAGCCCGCGCTCCAGCTGGGGGGCCAGGCGGGCGCGGGGCTTGAAGAACGGGGGCGGCGGGAGTCCCGGGAGCCGTCCCTGCTCCCAGGGAGAAGGAGCTGGGTGCGAAGGGCTCCCGGGACTGGGATGGAGACTCACCTCGACTGGAGGATCAATAAGATGGCGAGGAGGACTGGAAGAACTTTGGACAACATTTTCGCAGAGACCGGAGCGACCACCTGTACCGGAGGTCGCGGCTCACTGTCTGGCCGCACTGAACACGGCGTGGAGGGTTTTGCTGGGCTCCAACTTTCACTCCTCCCACTCGCCCCGCCCCGCCGCGCTCTCCCCGCCCCAGGCCCGCCCCCAGCCCCGATGGAAATCTCCGACGACGTGACGGCTGCAGCGGTGGGGAGCGGAGGATGATCGCGCGGGAGCGGGGAGGAGGCTGGAGCCCTGTCGCCTAGGCCCCCAGTTCCCCCGCCGCCACCACTGCGGCGCTGCCAGACAGCCAGGGGCGGGTGAGGAGGAGGGAGGAGGCGGCGAGCCCGCGGCTCGCAGCCTGGGCAGAGGAAACTCAGGGCCCCAGGCTGTGGCCTTCAGGGAGGTGCTTCAGAAACAAGATGAGGACTGGGTGGGCCTATGCACCAGGGACGACCCCTTCCTGCTCGCTGGCACGCCGAGTCTGCTCTCTAGCTGTGGCTTCCTCACCACCACCTGTTGCACCCCATTGCTCCCCCAACTCTCCTGGCCTCACCTAGCTTCCTTTGGTTTTCCCAGCTATCAGTCCACAACCTATAGTCTTTCGGAATACAAATCTTGTTACATGACGGAGGCTGGGTAGCTCAGCACCTTCCTTGGCACAGGGAAGAAGAGAGACAGTGGTTTCCCTAGCAATCTCTGATCTGAGGTACTCCACAGGCCAAATTCCCAGGTATTTGGGTGCAGGGAGGACCTGCCAACAGAGAACCAGGCAGAGACACTCCCTGTAGAATTTTCTCTGAACCCCAGGGGGGCACTGCCACAATGTGGCTCCAGCTTTGACCCCAGAAGCTGAGTGTGAAACGGACCACGTGGAATAGAGGAGGCTTTGGAAACCTCTTGAGACTGGATGGCCAAATCTTTCTAGACACTTGGCACCAGGTGATAGCAGAAGAACACATGAGAAGGCACAAATGGGGAAGGGGTAGTGCCCCTCCAGGTGGGACATGTCAAGAGTCTCACACACACTTGGACTTCATCTTCTTTACCTAGACGCTTCTGATTTGCTTCAGAATGAAAAGTAATGGCAAAATTTGTATACCAAGCTGATGCCAGACACTACGAGCTTCCTCACCTGTTACTCTAGAAAAAATAAATAAATAAACAAATAAAAACTTCAGGCTTAATAAGCTCAGCATTATATTTTTGTGCTACTTGTAAATGGACAGCTGCAACACAACAACTCCACTTGTTGTGGCTCTACAGGATACTGTTGGAGGGGCGTCCTCCCATGGGACAGAGTTGTGAGCTTACATTTAGTTTTTCACTCTTAAAAAAAAAAGGGCTGTGTGAATCCTTTGAAGACGCTTAGCTCTACCACACTCATCTAAAGCACCCTCTCTATCTCCCCACCCCCACAAGCACATCACTCTGCTTTGTCCTCTTCACGACATTGCTCGCTCATTGATGATTTTCTTGGTCATTTTTAATGAGCTTATGTATAGTAGGTCTCTCCCACTGAAGTAAGCTCAGTGACAAATACACACATGTATACACATAAAATTTGTCTGTTGGAATCTTCACTGTATCCCTAAGTCTTAGTAGAGCCCTTGGCACACAGTAGGCACTCAACCAAATGTGTCACTGATTTGCATTAAGCTGTATGTGTCCTACTACCACTAAGTCAGTCCACTAGAACCTGGGGCTGCCTTCAGACTCTGATGCAAGAGAGGAGAGACTGAAGGGCCCCTTTAGGCTTGCACAGCCCCTCACTGCCCCCCTTCTCCCCCACACACAGAAGAGCCCTATACTTTCTTTACTGCTGAAATGTTTAACAATTTTTGAACAAGTAGCCCTGCATTTTTCTTTTGTCCTGGGCCCTGCAAATTATGTAGCCAGTTTTGCCCAAGGGAGAAATGCCGCAGAGCAGGGAACAGGCAAACACACGGCTTTCCTGAGCCCATAAGGAAGACAACGCTGCCAGTCCATCTGCTTGCTGTCCTGTCCAACACCAGACTGCTATGTCTGCCCTTACTGTAGCCAACCTAGGATTTGAAGTGTCCTATATGCATGTATCTTCCTCCACTGACATTGGAACTCCAGGAAATGAAGGTTTGTCCGATTTACCTGTATTCCCCTGGGTTGAGCACAGTACCCAATGACCAGTAGGCATTAAGTACATTTGCTGAATGAGCGACTGAATCCCAGGCAGCTAAAAGGAAGCAAGTGATTACAGCTCCCTCCTCAGAGATTCCCAGGCACTTTGCTCTTTCTTACAGGTTGATATTAATCATACTTGCCATCTTCCTTATAAACCTCATCAGTGGGATAGCTTATCCATAGGATAGCTGTGAGGACTTGTCAAGACTACACAATGTTATTATTGTTTTGTAGTTTTCCAAGTATTTGCCACATGCTTGTCTAGGTCAGGCCATGGACTTTGTGATAGAGGAATATACATCAAGGACTCAGATGATGTCTTGGCCCTTACATGTGTTTTTACTTAAAAAAAAATACTAATTTTTTGAACATTACTAACACAAGGTACAAAGTCACAAGGTCCCCAGAGTTCCCAAGAAAACACTTAAGTGGTCCCAAGTCTCTCAAAGCAAGAAGAGGATGTTATAGGCAGCAGAGGTGCAGAGATGGGCATTCCAAGTTGAGAGCCAGCCAGGGTGTTGTAACCAGATATGTGTGGTGTTTGACAGAGAACAAGGAGGAGATTGCCTGAGGCGTTTGTGAAGAGCAATTGTTGGAGATAAAGCTGGAGTGGGAGGCTGTACAGGCAATTGCACTTTATCCTGTGGGCAACAGGGGAGTTACAAACCAGTACCAAAAGGAGCATTTCATGCTGTTTCAAAAGATCCCTCTGCTGGGGGTAGGCAGGAGAGTTTGCAGGATGGAGAGCTGGAGTCTCTTTTCTTTCAGTGAACAGAAGCAGAGCCACAGGGATGGTCAGAAGAGGAGCCACAGGAGGGAGCAACATCTAAGATGTGGAATTGACAGATGGAGTCGGAGTCAGGGAGGAGGCAATGGAGGGAGGGTTGCTAAGGCTCACAGGGTCTTCCCAGGTCACCAGGGTGGCAGGACAGAAATAAGGAAGGCAGGAGGAGGAGAAAGAGCTTTTAGTTACAGCCATGATAGCAGCTCCTTTCATTTTGCGTTTCACTTTCTAAAGTTCCATTAGAAATAAACATTCTCATTTAATGTCTAGGTCTGCGTATGTGTCTGCATGCATGTGTGTGGGCGCATATCCCTCTCCCTGGCTGTTTGTTTGTACTTCAGATGTGCTTCTCTTCAACTTGATAATCACTGAATATAAACAAAACTGTATTTTCATAACTAAACAAAACTACCCGTTGATCGCAATAGCAGTGAGCAAACTCCTTGTCAGTTGTGAATTATCAAATTAAATAACCAACATCAAACCACCATGTGACCTTTTATATGTGTGGTTTAGTGACAAAATCAGAGCTGCTGCTCATAAAGTCTGTGTGTTCCTGCCCTAGCATGGCCCAACCTATAGCACATGCACACATGCTTTTCTTATTAGGTCAAGGAAAAACACCAGCCCAGGCAAGTCTTACACAGCTCTTAGCTTGTTAAGCACCTGGGCTTACAGCAAGACAGAGATGATAGGGACACAGCGGAAGGCAAACTAGAGAAAAAAAACTGTACAGGGCTAAGCCTAGTGCAGAAGTGGATGAAGGAGCAAGGAAGGGACAGCCAGGCCTCAAAGCAGATAGACTAACAGTAGAGGCAGAAGCAGCACAAGGCAGTGATCAGATCTCTGGGCTCCACTGCACACAGGACACAGTCTGAATTTCAGATCAACCCCTAACTACTGGCTAAATGAGTACAAGCAAGTTCCTTACAGACCCTGAACTTCACATTACTAACTTATAAAATGGAAATTACAGTACTTTTCATCTCACGTGGCACCTGTGAGGATTCAATGGAACAGACCAGATAAATGTGTGTCACATGGTCAGTACTCAAGAAAACTTACCTGCCATTCTCAACATTACTATTACTAGCTAATAACTAATAAATTACACTGCAGGCACACCTGGTGTCCTTAAGGTCTTGAATAGCACCAGGAAATATCTGGCCAAAGAGCAAGACCTCAGCCCTAGAACTACACTGCAGAACAAGGCTCATGTACTGAGGAGGTTGAAATGCCGTGGTCAAAACAGGATTCTAGACCTCAGAAAACTGGACCACTGTGAGCACCGCAGGCTGGCGGCAGGCTACAAGGGAGGAGGGAGGCATGACTGAGGATGGAGATTGAGGGTCATTGGCACATGGGTGACATTCAAAATCATGGCACTGGATGCAGTCACCCAGGAAGAGATAAACAGGCTTAGGCTTGGGTCCTGAGAGGTGTGTCACAGAAGCCAACACAAGACAGGGCATTTCTTGTACACTGGTGGTTTTTACCATGTACTAATAAGTCAAGAACTAAATAGTGCCCAGTGGCTGACTCAACAGGGAGGTCATTTTTAAGCTTTGGGCAGGGGCTGATCCTCAACACAGAGTTGAGGGGTGCTTGAAATGGGCAGGGAAGAGAAAAGAACATATGACTGTAGACATCTTACTTGGTAAGTGGCTGGAAAGCAGTGAGAACTGTGTCTCCCACACCAAATACAGGGAGAGAGGGCCATGTCTGATTCTGAAGGGGCCATGTCTGATTCTGAAGGGGCCATGTCTGATTCTGCTCTGAGCCTGAGTATTTTAGACAGCGAGAGAAAGAGATTTAAAAAGAATACCAATAATGCTGGCAACTGGTGCTGGTCAGGAGTTGAGAATGTTGAGATCTGGAAAGTGTCTGCTGTGAGGGATGAATGTGTGAGGAGGATGTGAAGTCAGCAGGTATAGACAACTCCTCAGGAAGCTCAACATGAAGAAAGACACAGTGCAACAGCTAGAGGGAGGCAAATATTTGAAGCATTTTGATTTCTGTGTTTTACAGATGCACGAGACAGAAACATCTCTATAGGCTGAAAGGAAGAAGCTAACTGAGGGGGAGAGGGTGGAAAGATTTCATGAAGCAGTTGTGTATGGTCAG